TCTAACTCCCAAACCGGGAACCCGATTGGAGTCTCGTCTTCTCCAACAAGTCTGGGACGTCGGGATCAAGGCAAAGGTCCAAGTCCTACAAACACATGGCAAAGTATACTGACCGTACTTCTCAAAACAGGTCTCACATGCATGCAAATGATCTCGGAAAAATATGTTGGAAGTCAAAACACTGTTTTACATGTCAGGAAGACATGCTGGGTACCAACCAGGTCTTTGCTGAGGTCCCACACCTCCTGGCCGAGGTGTGGCTACCCTGGCTTCGGCATGAGACTGCATGCCGAGGTGCTCACAAGACAAACTAAAGGTGTAAGTGATCATGCAAGGTAGGCCAAGGTGAGATATGATGCTTGGCCTAAGTGTGAGGTCTAGGTAAGAGTGATCTCGACGACTACACTTCGGGAAGTGAGGTCTGGAGATCTAGGTTTCCACCCGTGAAGAACAGGAAGAACATGAACATGAAGGTCATGAAGAACATGAATGCTAAAATCATAACTTCTTTGTTACAAAATCTGGGATTTCATGCTATGAGTTCGAAAACATGGACCTGGGTACCCATACTTGAAAATCATATGAAAACAAACACAAAAACATGAATTTAGGGAAGTGCTTCCGGATCAAAACATGACTTTTCTTGAAGAACACATGAATGCTATTTTCTCTTTCTAAAACCAAACTTCAAAGCAATGCATAGCTTACAAATCATATTCAATCATGCAATGCAATAACATAAACATAAGGAACGACAAGAGCAGATTAAGAATCTAACCTTAGAACACGGATCTAACGGTTCAATCTCTAGGGATCAAGCTTGGAAATCTACCTCCTCTCAAGAACTCTTCTTCCTCACCTAGAGCTTCTCTCTCCTATTCAAAACAAAGATATAGAAATGATAGGTTTCCTCTCTCTATCGGCTAACTTAACACTCAGCTCAGACACGTGGCAACGGCTGGTTGGTTCTCTTCAAAAAGGTGATCGGTTGACAAGACAAGACTATGACAAGGTGTATCTAACAAGTTATTCGGTAAAGCACTCTGGCAAGTGATGACATCGGCTAACAACAAGACTTCGGCAACTAAGGTGACAATGACCTCGGCTAGGAAGGACAACACTTGACTAAGCTGTGCCACACCTTGGCCTAGATGCGCCACACCTCGGTCTAGGTCATACCACTCCAGGACAAGATCGCTTAGGTGCAAAAGTAACATCTCGGCCTAGATAATACACATCTCGGCCTTGGTGATTCACACCTCGGCCTAGATAATGACATCTCGGCCAATATGTCAAGGCGAAGATGGAGGTCAACAAAGGGGTTCCAAGACACTTCTAGACTGAAGATGACCTCGGCTTGGAATGATCTAGGCTTAACATAACCTAGGCTTGGCATGACCTAGGCTTAACATAACAGGAAAGGGACAAATCATGCATACAATGCTTAGACAAATCACATAAACACAAAACAAGACAAGATTCATGAATGCAAATTTATCGAGACAAAGTTATGTAAATGAACATGAATATGACTATGACATGAATATGGGTCGTTACAGCATCTTAACATGGAAAAACATACAAATGTATGCAAACACGATTAGGACATAAAATGTGGGTTGTTACAACG